CCGAAGGCAGACGCTTAACGACTGAGCCACCCAGGCGCCCCCTTCTCTGTGCTTTAAATGAGGTTAGAGTAATTAGAATTTCCTACGTGTAGAAAATCCAGCACTCTTCAGTGTATATTAGTTTTACACTAATACCAATATTAGTATTAGTATATCTCAAACTTGAAAGCAGTTGTGGAGAAAGATTAAAGTTAATATTTGGATTTTTATTGAATGAGTTTGAGTCCACCTACACATACCTAATTCGTCACTAAGACTTTTTATTGTAGAAACTGTATTTCTTAAAAATGTTTACTACCTTCTTAATGCTTTCCAGGAACCAGATCCTGAATTGCCAGTGTCTCAGGTAAAGGTTTAGCTGTAACCTTTAGTTTAGAGAATACTATAGTTCCAATTGCTTACTTGTTCCTGTAGATTAGAAAGCTTGCTGCATATCTATTAATACCATTATAAAAGTAGCCATCTCTACCAGACATTCTGTACCTTTTTATGTAAAGTATTATATTTCCAATATTTTTATGTCTATGGATGAGTAGTCTTATGTTCTTAGGACTTGGAGCTTAAATAGAAATGACCAATATTGACCAGTGGATGAGAAAAATAGAGGAGGAGGCAAGGGGAACCAGGAGCTTAGAAAGGGAGCCAAGAAGTCAGCAGAGCCCCAAGTGTCCAAGAAGTCCGTGATGGATAGGACAATATGTTTTGAGTAAAGAGTGGGCTGACTCTGCTTGGGAAGGGCCTGGTTTTAGACAGTGGTGCCCGCCACCACGAGGAAGAAAGGAAGGGACACTGGCCAGATAGCCATGTCTACTAAATCATTGTGGTTAGAGATAGGAGGCGGCCACAGAGACCTGCTAACTGGATAAGACACAGTGAATGAGTCTGGAGGGAACCGAAGGAGAGGAGGTGAATCTTTTAACTCAAGAGGGTTTCCAGTAAGTCTGGGAATAAGGCAAAGGGATGAAAGTGCTACAAATCAGAGAGCTTAAATATTGCCAGGTGTTTGCCCTGCCACATAAGAGAGAATTGTAACAGTGGTTTTTAGGTAAATAAACAGTTTGGAACCTCATATGTGGTTCATATGAGTAATCATCCAACCTTTTAGAAGAAAGCAAGATACAAAGTACTCTGATAGAGGTCTGTGTGGCATTAAACAGGCACCGTAAATAGGTTAAAATGTAGCACTCTGTTCTTGAAAAGGATTTAAACATTGTCTACAATGTTCATAATCATGATTTCCAAATTGATAGATGGTACAAAGCTGTTTTTTGCATAATATATGTACAATTCGTTTCAGAAGGACCTAAATTATAAATAGAGTAAGTAATGTGCTTTTTGTTTTCAGTAATTTTGGAAGATTTTGTTAAAATTAAATTAAAACACCAATAATTGCATTGTTGGTATGGTTTTAAAACTGTAAATGGCGTTTGAAAGTTTCCATCCAGCACAGGGACTTGATGAAGGATCTGTATTTAGTATTACTTTCCTGTTCTGTTAAAGTAGACTGAATTATCTACTGGATAGTGATGTAAAAGAATAAAAAGGGAACAAGTCTGACAGGATTCTTTTGAGCTCATTATTTACACATTTTGCCTTCCTCCTTTGCACATTTTTACAATTTCAAAATAAATGATGCTTTACAGTAACAATTCAATATTTTGTGTCTAAGTTTTCATTTTCATAGAGCAGGCAGAGTGTCACATGTTACTGATTCTTATGATGGCTCAATCAGGTTAGACAGGCTGTTCTTTGGTGGCCTTATTCTAATAATAACCTAACAAAATTGTTTCTTTTATGTCTTAAACTAGTGGCCTCAAATTCTGTCTTAAAAGGAACAGGACAATTTAAATGTGTTTTGCTCAGTCACTAGAGTTTTTACCTTTTCATATATTTATTTTCAAAAATTGGATCAACCTCACAGAAGATAGTACAAGCAAGGCATTATATCCCTGATGATATTGCCTCAAGAGTAATGTCATGTAGACTGCCTCAGTAGGTGAAGGAGATGGGATTATGTTTCACAGACAAAGAAGGACATAATTGACATGATGATTACTCACTTAGATGAGGAGAATCTATGCTTTTCCCTTTAGAAAAGTTCCTACACTTCTATGATTTTTGTTGATTTCACTAGACTTCCAATGGATAGGTATTCAAATGTATTTACTACATGACCCTGTCATTTAGTAACAACTTAAACATATCTGATAGCACCAATTTATATTTTTATTCAGATGCAAGGGGCAGTTTGGGATCATCCATTGTGCCTTGTTATGCATTTTACTCTAATCACTGATTACTTTTGAACTTTTTTTTTTTTAATTTAAACAGGATTTTAGGGCTGTAAAACATACTTGGCTTGTTTCCAAAATAAAATAAAAAACTTTTTTTTAAAAAAGCCAAAGCCCCATCTGCTGTTTTCATCAAAATCCTAAGAATTGTTCACATTGCCAAGAGCAGTTCTTGAATACAGTCTGATGTTTAATCAGGCAGTGATATGTGATTTTCAAGGTCAGTTTTGTTAGGACAGAAGGAAAATCAGGAAGATAAATATTCTCAAATACTGATGAAATTTAAAATTAAGTAATGGTTTAAGTAGATTTTACTATAGATCTTTAAATATACAAGATTCCCACCATTATTTCTACTTCTGAAGAATTAGGTTCTAGAAACTGAAATAAATATAGATCTATTTACCTTTTTGGAAAAGTGAATTCTTATGGAATAACATTTTTAAAAAGATGTGAAGCATTTATTCATTTGGTGGGTAGGGAACAGTGGATTTACTTTGTTTTGCTTAGCCTAATATTAAAAAAAAAGTTGTACCTTCTTAATATTTGAGAGGTTAGTAGGCAGATGGATGTCAGGAAGCATGATGGAGTGGACTATAACAGTAGATACATGCAAATTGTTAAAAAGATATGTGCAGGGATAATTAATGCCCAGCTATATAAATGATACTATAATAATAAAAACTTGGCTTTTAAAAAGTCGATTTAACTAGAATTCCAAGTCATAGTTTTGAAGCTTCATGAGCTCCTCCTCATCAGGATGAAAGTCCATATATCTCACTGTGGCGTACAGGGTCCCTCATCCGCCCTTTGCCTTTTTCTCCAGCTTCTTCTCTGATTGCTGCCTCAGCTGAACCTAATTCAACCATACTCAACTGATTTGGATTCGCCAAACTTGCCACCAGCCTTCAAGCTAGGCTGCTCTAGTCCCATTGCTTTGCCTAGTAAACGCTTTCCAGTCTTGGCCATTAGCAAACTCTTTTCTCCTACCTTTCTTCCACCCCCCCACCCCCACCCCAGGCAGTTGGGTGCGTCTTTCTGTCTTCCCATAGTATGCTCCAGACTTTTATTATTGCGCTTTTCCTACAACACTGAAATTCGTGTGAGCTAGAAGACCTGTGGCTTACTCATCTCTGTTCCCAGGACCTGGCATGTATGTAGCAGGTGCTCCCTGGTAATATGGGAGTGAACCAGCGGAACCCACATCCTGCTTTACTGTTTCAAAGCAAATGCTGCAGGTCCTTCCTGTCCACCAGACTGCTGAACAAGGAACACCCTTTTGAGAAATGAAAGCCCTCAGATCCTTGCAGGGCAGTCTGAGCTGTGGGGACTCAAGATAAATCAGGATTACTTATTTCCATCTTTGAAGTTAAATTAAACCATTAGTTCAAGCCAGGGATGACTTCCCTGACCCCTGAGCATACTTGTATAGATCTGCCAACCTTCCTGATCTTTGAGGATTGAAAACCTCCAAATGTTTCCACACTTTAGTGGATCCCATAATTAGATGCAGTTCCAATTGGAATTGATTTTTTTTTTTTACAAATTAAGTCTTTGATTCCATATTCTGTTCATTCAATTGTGTTAAATCCACACAGTTGAAATATTTTATTACCCAGGAAAGTATAAGCTAAAAAACCCAATCATCTAACCAAATATAATTTCATTTTAGGAACCTAAGGATGCAATGAAGGCAGCCTTCTTTATTCCCATTAAAGTGAAAGTATGAAGAGTTTCTTCTTTCCTTACAAATTTTTGTCTAATATATGCATTCCAATTATTTTAGCCCACAAAAAGATCTCTCCTTTTTAATTCCTATAAAACTATTTTCTATACCACACACCTGTCACCTATCATGCACTGCTTTGCCTTGTCACTTAATTCAAGTAGGTGATGTGTTCAGGGAAATTAGAATCCCAAGTTTTAATCTTCTCACGTCTCCTTTTTAGAACTAGCCCAGTGCTATGTAACTAGGAGGTGCTCAATAGATATGGACTGACTGAGTGAATGCATCTCGAGTTCTTTACATGAGGACTTATTTGTTCTCTGCTTCTAGTCTCTAGTGAAGCAGAAAGGTAAACATTTCTGATAAGGCTGTTTTAAATGTTTAACAAGATATGTAACTGTGCAGACCTTGACATCTAATTTCTCAAGGTAGAGCAAAGCTGATATCCAGATTCCTTCTTTATGTTTTCCATTCCCCCTCCCCCCATAGCAGTTTTTCTACTGGCTAGATCACAAAGCAACCAAGATTGTGTTGATTAGTTACTGGGAATTGGGAGAAATTGATCTTAGTTCAATTCACCATTTTTGGAATACCTAATGTGTGCAAAACCCATAGGTGTTATGGAAAATTCAGAACTGAACAAGGTGAAAAGGCTTGTGTTCTGGGGAAGGGAGGGCTAACCTGTGTCCAATAATTACAGAGTTTCTCAAAAATGGTAAGTACATATAATAGAAGTGTAAAGAGAATGCTCTAGGACAAAGACAAGAGGTAAGTAGGTTTAGTAGGTTTCCCCATCAGGGAAGTCTTCATGATTGACTTCTGGTCCTGAAGGCAGAAAGAGCACTGTGGTCGTAGCTTAATTAATTTGTTTTCAAATTACTATTCCAGTAAAATTTTCTCTAGAGATCTTCTTTTACTTATAAAAAGGCATGTTAGAAGACTACCAGGTAATACCACACTTTTATTTACTAGGTAATTGATCTAATGGGTATTTCTTGATTAGTAATGACCTTGCCTTCCTGTCTTAGTTTCTTGACATAGTCCTTTAAATTAGTATAATGCACTAAGTGGTAAACATGCCCAAGACAAAGTTAGACAATAATAAAGCTTCTATAGGCAGAACTTCTTCTTCTTTTTTTTTTTTAAGATTTTATTTATTTATTTGACAGAGACACAGTGAGAGAGAGAACACAGCAGGGGGAGTGGGAGAGGGAGAAGTAGGCTTCCCGCTGAGCAGGGAGCCCAATGTGGGGCTCGATCCCAGGACCCTGAGATCATGACCCGAGCTGAAGGCAGTCGCTTAACTGACTGAGCCACCCAGGCGCCCCTATAGGCAGTACTTCTAATACTACTTAATATATGCTTTATTTTATCCATGCTTATAGGCAGCTTGGATTTTAAAGGCACGAGCACTAACCGAAATGGTGTACGTAGATGAAATTGATGTAGAGCAGGAAGGAATTGCAGAAATGATGCTGGATGAAAATGCTATTGCTCAAGTTCCACGTAAGTATTGGGTTTTCCCTTAAGTAAATGAAATGCCCTTAGGAGGAAGAATACTATTTGTATATAAAAGAAACACAAGACATATACATGAAAAAACATTGTATCAAGTAAATGGTCTCTATCCTGCCATATAGTACAAAGACTTTCCTTCCCCAATGTGAGATTGCTGTATAAAGCCATTTTTTAATAAAAGCCATATTATGCATTTGAAAATATTTTATATTTAAAATGCATTCTAGCTGAACTGCTTATCTAAGTATATCAGAAGATTGTTTATCTGAGAGTTGCAACCCAGGAAGCACCCAAACAACAGAAGTGTTCTAAAAGGATTTAAAAAAAAAAAAAAAGATCACTGGAAAACATCACTTCACTGTAATAATTGAAGGTGATTTGCTCTAATGCTTGATGTGAGGTGACGGGGTGATATGCTGGCCTGTGAATGCTGTTGGGATTGTCACAGAAGCCCAGTCCCCAGCTTGCGGATGTGCTGGTGCAAATGGTATTTAGTGATTACCATGACATTTGGTGGTCTTGCTAGTATTTGATAGTTATAACAGTTATCAGTCATTTATATGTTTTGAAAGATAACTTTAAAGCTTCAAATGAAAATTGAGAAAAAAAAATACATATGGTTCATGTTAAAATTCTTTTTTCCCCATCATTTTGCTCTTTTGGAGCTAAAATATCTCAATTCTAGATTTTATATCAGAAATAAACTATGAGTATAGAGCCATCTTTTGGTGCTTTGGAGCTTGCTAGCCTTGAGTTTGAACCCCAGCTCTACTAACAGGTTGACCTCTTTGCTTAACCCTCTAAGCCTTTGCTAAACGAGTGAATACTACCTACCTTACAGACTTAGTGTGAGGATTACATGTGATAACATAAAATAACATGATAGATACTCAATAAATACCAGTCTCAAACACATTTCCCTAAAATACATTTCCTGTTATTAATGTCCTTTGCACCAGGCCGGCGCATTTCTGAAAATTATGTTAGCTGACAGTTTTTACAGATTAACAACTAATATATTAATTGAATTTGCCATCTCATCTCACAGGCCCTGGCACATCTTTGAAACTCCCTGGAACTAATCAGACGGGAGGGCCTAGTCCAGCTATCAGGTATGTACTTCTGTTTCTTTTTTTTTTTTTTTAAAGATTTTATTTATTTATTTGACAGAGACACAGCGAGAGAGGGAACACAAGCAAGGGGAGTGGAGAGGGAGAAGCAGGCTTCCCATGGAGCAGGGAGCCCGATGCGGGGCTCGATCCCAGGACCCTGGGATCATGACCTGAACTGAAGGCAGACGCTTAATGACTGAGCCACCCAGGCACCCCTGTACTTCTGTTTCATACCCTCTGTCCTTAAATAGTGACCAGACTGTAGAAGAATCTTCCTTTATTGACCTTCTTTGTATTTTCACAATGTACACTTTTCACAGGCCAGTCACTCAAGCTGGAAGACCCATTACAGGTTTCCTTAGACCTGGCACACAGAGTGGAAGGCCTGGCACCATGGAGCAGGCCATCAGAACTCCCAGAACTGCCTACACAGCTCGCCCTATCACCAGCTCATCTGGAAGATTTGTCAGGCTGGGAACGGTAAATTCTGTCAGCTTTACCATAGTTTGTATTACCAAAGTAACTTTATGTTATATCATTTTTTTGCTATTGTTATAGTGGAAAGTTATATGGAAGATTTTTTACAGGTGATTCTTTTTTACTTATGTTGCCTTTATAATTTTTCTGCTCATTAAGCTCAATTTATGTTTTAAGAGAAAGTCTCAGATCTCTTGTTCTGTCATTTTTCCCCATAGGCTTCCATGCTTACAAGTCCTGATGGACCTTTTATAAACTTATCTAGACTGAATTTAACAAAATATGCCCAGAAACCTAAATTGGCAAAGGTATGTACTTAAAATGATTGTATGTTATGAAGTAATGTTAGACGTATTATCATAACAACATTCTAGAAAATAGAAAAAAGTTATGAAGAAAAGGTGATGTCTTGATTGAAATGGAAATGTTTAATTACTGAACTATGTAAAATTTCTCTTAGTCTTTTGAGTTAAGGAAAGTCAGTCAGAAATAAAGTCTATATACCATTATTATAGGAAATTCTTTTTCCTCTGATAAACAACAGCAACTTTTAAAAAAATTTAAATTCTAGTTAGTTAACATATAGTGCAATATTGGTTTCTGGAATGGAATTCAGTGATTCATCACTTACATACAACACCCAGTGCTCATCCCAACAAGTGCCCTCCTTAATCCCTGTCACCCATCTAGCGCATTCCCCATCCATCTCCCTCCATCAACCCTCAGTTTGTTCTCTACCGTTAAGGGTCTCTTATGGTTTGTTTGCCTGTCTTCTTTTCTTTTTCTTTCCCCCTTCCCTTATGTTCATCTGTTTTCTTTCTTAAATTCCACATATGAGTGAGTTCATACGGTATTTGTCTTTCTCTGACTGATTTATTTCACTTAGCGTAACACTCTCTAGCTCTATCCATGTCATTGCAAATGGCAAGATTTCATTCTTTTTGATGGCTGAGTAATATTCTATTGTGTATATATACCACATCTTCTTTATCCATTCATCAGTCATTGGACATTTGGGCTCTCTCCATAGTTTGTCTATTGTTGATAAAGGAATAGCAATTTATAACAAAGAAAGCAGATATGCAGCATCATCTTTGTGGAAGGAAGCTTAGAAGGTCATCACTGTGTGTGTGTTTTCCTTTTTCATCTTGGACTACTCTCAGAAAAATAATTTTCTATCCTTGTACAATTTTAGGACTGTCAAAAAGGAAGATAAAAAAATATGTACTTCTAATTAGTAATGAGGCAGGCATCTCCCTATCACTGACTGACTTGAGTGATCCTTATTGAGAATTACGTTAATAATTCTAACTATTCAAAGACTAGTTGCTTGGGGCACCTGGGTGACTCAGTCAGTTGAGCGTCCGACTTTTCCTTTAGGTTCGGGTCATGATCTCAGGGTCATGAGATCGAGCCCTGCATCTGGCTCTGCACTCAGCAAGGAGTCTGCTTGAAGATTTTCTCCCTCTGCCCCTCCCCCCACTCGCATGTACATGCACGCTCTCTCCCTCTCTCTCTCAAATAAATAAATCAATCTTAAAAAAGATGAGATGTTCCTTTAAATTAAAGAGAGAGAGTGAAAGTAAGTGTGTGTATGCGTGGTGAGAGAGAATGAGAAAGACAGAGAGAAAGAGCCTGAGAGGTCCATAACCTTTTCAGTGTAAAGATAAACTTGGAGTTGAGCTTGGAATAGTTCAGAGACATGAGCACTTAGCTGGTGCTGAAACTGGTCTAAGCCTAGCCCAGGTTCGTAGCTATAAGCTCTGTGAATTCTGTGCATGAGTGCTGAGTTCCTTCTGAATCTTAGTTCTAATGGTGTTTAACATATTTATTAAATGTCAGACACTAAGGAATATAAGAATGGATGCTAGCCATACAGAGTTGAAATTAAAATCAGAAAAAGAAATGTCAGTTGATAGGGAATTAGCCTGTAATAACACTGATGACATTTTTCTTAATTTCTTATTTGACAGCAATCTGGTCAACTTCATTTTACTAGAATTGTCAGCTATACTTATTTCCCTAACCTTTGTGAGAATGGAGTATTAACAGCAACTCATATGGAATATCTGGTTCCCCTGCCTTTTTAGGCCATTTACTTGAGGTAGCTGGATGGCTAGTTGGTACCATTGCTGTTTTCTTTTTTAAAGATTTATTTATCTGAGAGAGAGAGAGAGAGAGAGGAGGTGGGGTGGTGCAGAGGAAGAGGGAGAGAGAGAAACTTCAGCAGACTCTGCGCTCAGTGTGGAGCCTGACATAGGGCTCGATCCCATGATTCTGAGATCATGACCTGAGCTGAACCCAAGAGTCAGTCGCTTAACTGACTGCACCCCTCAGGCGCCCCACCCCCCCATTGCTATTTTCTGTCAGGGGAGTGCAGTCTGTGAAGGCATCTCTCTCAAACTAAGATGGTTCTAGAACAGACCTGGTCTGTGGTAATAGATTTAAACTGAACTAGACTTTGTGTTTTAGTGTGTTGTAGAAATCATGCCCACCTTTTCTGTCTTTGGTTTCCAATTCGCCTTTACTCATCAGGACTCATTTTTTTTTATTCTTATGTTAATCCCCATACATTACATCATTAGTTTTAGATGAAGTGTTCCATGATTCATTGTTTGTGCATAACACCTAGTGCTCCATGCAGAATGTGCCTTCCTCAATACCCATCACCAGGCTAACCCATCCTCCCACCCCCCTCCCCTCTAGAACCCTGTTTGTTTTTCAGAGTCCATCGCCTCTCATGGTTCATCTACCCCTCCGATTTCCCCCGCTTCATTCTTCCCCTCCCGCTACCTTCTTCTTCTTTTTTTTTTTCTTAACATATATTGCATTATTTGTTTCAGAGGTACAGATCTGAGATTCAACAGTCTTGCACAATTCACAGCGCTTACCAGAGCACATACCCTCCCCAGTGTCTATCACCCAGTCATCCCATCCCTCCCACCCCCCCCCCCACTCCAACAACACTCAGTTTGTTTCCTGTGATTAAGAATTCCTCATATCAGTGAGATCATATGATACATGTCTTTCTCTGTTTGACTTATTTCACTCAACATAATACCCTCCAGTTCCATCCACGTCGTTGCAAATGGCAAGATCTCATTCCTTTTGATGGCTGCATAATATTCCATTGTATATATACACCACATCTTCTTTATCCATTCATCTGTCGATGGACATCTTGGCTCTTTCCACAGTTTGGCTATTGTGGACATTGCTGCTATAAACATCGGGGTGCACGTACCCCTTCGGATCCCTACTTTTGTATCTTTGGGGTAAATACCCAGGAGTGCAATTGCTGGATCATATGGTAGCTCTATTTTCAACTTTTTGAGGAACCTCCATACAGTTTTCCAGAGTGGCTGCACCAGCTTGCATTCCCACCAACAGTGTAGGAGGGTTCCCCTTTCTCCACATCCCCGCCAACATCTGTCGTTTCCTGACTTGTTAATTTTAGCCATTCTGACTGGTGTGAGGTGGTATCTCATTGAGGTTTTGATTTGGATTTCCCTGATGCCGAGCGATATTGAGCACTTTTTCATGTGTCTGTTGGCCATTTGGATGTCTTCTTTGGAAAAATGTCTGTTCATGTCTTCTGCTCATTTCTTGATTGGATTCTTTGTTCTTTGGGTGTTGAGTTTGATGAGTTCTTTATAGATTTTGGATACTAGCCCTTTATCTGATATGTCATTTGCAAATATCTTCTCCCATTCTGTCGGTTGTCTTTTGGTTTTGTTGACTATTTCCTTTGCTTTGCAAAAGCTTTTTATCTTGATGAAGTCCCAATAGTTCATTTTTGCCCTTGCTTCCCTTGCCTTTGGCGATGTTTCTAGGAAGAAGTTGCTGCGGCTGAGGTCGAAGAGGTTGCTGCCTGTGTTCTCCTTTAGGATTTTGATGGACTCCTGTCTCACACTGAGGTCTTTCAACCATTTGGAGCAGGACTCATTTCTCATAAAGATTGCTTGAGTTGTCTGTGGTAACTTTTCACAGCAATGGTAGCACCAACTGCACTCTTACTTTTTCTTCTTTATAACACAACAAGTGGAGGTGTAGTATAGTTTTTAAAAGAAGGGCCTTGTCCTGATTTCTTTCTTTCTTTCTTTGGTTGCCTCTTAAGCCTTCTCTGGTAATAGCCCTGATACGCTAGCCTCTTTGCAAGTGTTCAGTAATGACTTTACGGACAAACGTGATACCACCAAGGGGTAGTTCAGGAAATGCTTATTTATCCAGATGAGTTGAGTGAAGTCATCTACACCTCCCATTTTACACTTAAGCTCTACTTTGTTTCAAAAGGAACTTCCAGATTTTCCCCATGTCTAACGTGTCATCATCCATATCATAATCACTGTATCATATATGTAGCGTGTGTGAAAGAATGGGCTGAATCTGTTTTAGGATCATTCCAAAGTTGGTCTTTTCATTTGTCTCTTTCTAGTAAAATAGTACATGTAATATGAAAAACACTGTTTAGTTCTTTGAGTTTTCCAGTTTGTATTCTATAAAAACAGGAATCAGGTATAAATTGCTGTATTTTAAAATGGTGATTGTAACAGATAATGGATAGACCATTTACTTATAAAGGTACTTTGAAAGTACCTTCTTATTTTGGTTCAACCCAGCTGCTGTCAAAATGGTCTCTCAGTTTTGATATAACAATAGAGTGCTTTTGTTAAAATAAAATCTAATGTATTTTTGGCATTTTTTTTTCTTCATAGGCTTTGTTTGAATATATCTTTCATCATGAAAATGATGTTAAGACTGTAAGTTTTGAATTCATGCTATTTTCTCTTGTTGTGATTTTCCTGACTTTGGGGATTTTGATTCTGAAATGTTCTATTTCTTACCTTATAAACAGAGGGAATTATTAAAAATTGGAGCATTACTAATACTTTCAAACCCACTGTCAGTTTCAATAGGAAAATTTGTTATAAATATAGAAGTGGTAAGGACTGTGCCTGGTCCATAGAGTATGTAGATATCCATTGAAGAGCAAGATACAGATAATTGAGAATATTGCATAATGTGCTTGTGCTACAGGTTATTTTTCATCCTAATAGTTGGCACTGTTGATCCATTGCTTTCCTGTAGTCCATATAGTGTATTATTATAGGTTTACTCATATGAGTATTTCTGGTTTCTTTGTAATGCACCCCTTCCCCCTCCTTCAACATTTTATGATAGAAAAATTCAAACACACACAAGTAGAGAGAATGATATAAAGTGCCAGTATCACCCATCACCCAGCTTCAGTAATATTCAATCATTTTGGTAGCTTCTTGGGTATATGCATATGACTTCATTTGTTTCACTTTTTACATGCAATATGCAAATGACCAGTTACCTCACAAATTCTGTCAAATTGAACGTAGTTAATTCCGCAGTGTCTGATGATAGTATTTTTCCTCATTTTCTTATTAGTTTAGGGAAAAAGCTTTATAACCATATGTTAAATATTCAGGAAAATAAAAACGTTTTCCTCAGTTGTGTTTTCTATGTGTCAACCACTGTGCTATGTGCTAGGACAACTAATAAAAATATTTTTTTTTCCTGACTCTATAAGCCATGCAATCTAGCTGAGAAAATAAAATTGGCATAATGAAACAAAGCGGCAATTGCCAAGCTGTGAAATTGTCAACAGGTAGCAAAGGGAAAAAAACCCAAAGGGGTGATATTAGTAAAGAGCCACAAAGTCAGTCAGATTTTTTGGGGGAAGGAGGGAAAATAAATGTAAAAAAGTGTAAAAACATGAGCAAGGTATGAAGTGAGAAATAAATTGTCCATCTACTAAGAAATGGGAGCATCAAAGAGACATTTTATTTTTATTTATTTATTTATTTATTTTTTAAAGATTTTATTCATT